GTCATGGCCATTGGCGCCATCCTGACCCCGATCGGCCAGCTTGTGTTTTCGTGGACATGCCTGCCAGCGACCATTCATTGGGCTATTCCGATCGCTTTCGGCATCCCTTTCGGTGCAGGCAACACCATCAGCTTCATCTACGGCTCGAATTATCTGGCTGGCGCGTACTCCATATACGCTGCCAGTGCCCTCGCCGGAAACGCTGTCATTCGCAGTATTGCTGGCGGTGTTTTGCCCCTGGCTGGTCCTAAGATGTACGCCGCCATGACCCCTCAATGGGCGGGAACACTTCTGGGCCTCCTCGAGGTAGCTATGATTCCGATTCCATTCGTGTTCTGGCGATACGGGGCCAAGATCAGAGCAAAGAGCCCAACCATTAGAGCTTTGAGAGAGGAGCAGGATCGACTTGATGCGAAGAGAGCCAAGTATCAGAAGAAGCTTGAAAAGAAGCAGCAACGAGAAGCAGAGAATCCAAAGACAGAGGGAGAAGGAGTGTTGGAGAAGACAGCAGGCGATTGATGATGAAAAAAGCATGCGTAATCGTTTACAGTATATAAAGCACTCTGAAATAGAAGTTGGGAAATATATGCCACTTTGTAAATTGTTGCCTTGTTGCTCCATGGACAATAAAGTTTAGGTGATCACTTGTTTTATGTTTCAACCGTAAACCCAGCGGCTGCCTTATTTACAATACCAGGACACACGACTCATTGCGATAACAACACTACGGTTCAGTTAACCACCAACCTCAAGTTCACTTGTACTCAATATTCAAAAACTTTTCCAAAAAGAAATTAACGATTACTCAATCCCATTTGGAACATAGGAACAGCCCGATGCGGGGGTCGAACCCGCAACCTTGAGATAGTGTACTCATTTAAGAGTCTCACGCTCTACCGATTGAGCTAACCGGGCCTCGTATCGAGGCTTGATATTGGATACGAGAGGCCAAAGATATGTATATGAACTCTGATCATTTCCATCGCCAGCCACAGGGTATTGCATCTACATATTAAACACAAAAAGGTCTTGCAAAATCTCGCCGTAGGAATTCAAGATTTATGTAGACAAAAAGATTCGTTTTTGTTGCGATTTTGTACTGTCAGACTATGGTACGCCGACCAAGTCTCCCGTAATCCTGATGACTTTTGAGACTCCCTGGTTGACTGCCTTCATAAGAAGAACCACAAAGTCGACCTATCCACGCCGAGCAGGTGTCCAACAAAGTACAGCCCAATATCACAGAGTCCGCTGTGGCTCGCCAACACTCCCAATCTGACAGATTCCAACCTATTACTACATGTCACTTCTGCTAAAGAATCACCTAAAAGTATTGTCCCCTATCAACCCCCAAAGTCGTCCGTCCTTTAGTTCCCCTTCTCCAATCCGTCGAGCTCCTTAAGCACGGACGACTTGGTGTTGATCTTCTTAAGCTGGGTATCCTCGAGCTTCTCTCCACCAGCCAGACGCATCTCAAGGTCCTCGATGGCGCGAACCTTCTTCTGGAGACTGCGGATCTTCTTAGCGTTAGGGTTCTGTGCTGCATCAGGAGCACCACTTCCGGCACCCTGGCTTGCATGAGCATGGTGTCCATGGCCGTTGCGGTGAGTGTTACTGCGGCTTCGGGCCTGATTGTTACGCGATTGGCTCCGGTTGCGGTGATTTCGTCGCTCGGGGCTGCGACCCTCGTGGCCGGAGCCGTGGCCTCGGTCGTGAGGAGGAGGCGCCAGGCTAGCTCCGCCGTTAGGCTCGCCTTGGGGCCGGCCCTCACCCTGGGCATTCTTCTTGTTTCTCTTCTTCTTGTTCTTAGACTTGGACGAGATTTCATCACCCAAGGGTTCAGCTCCTGGGACGGTCCTAACCGTGGGAGCTTGATCAGCTAAATCAGCACCGGGCACAGCGCGGCGAGGGCGACCAAAACCGTTCGGACCGACGTTGGGTAGTCCGTTGCTCACAACGTGGGCGGCACCGCCCTCATCCTCACGCTTGAAGTGCAGAGGAGTGGCCAGGCCACGGGCGCCGGGAGGGCGGTAGGCACCAGCGGGCTTGCTGGGAGTCTTGACCGAGCCCAGGTAGGCCGTAGCAGAGGCATGAGGCGTAGGAATGGGTGCCAAAGGGTCACCGGGAGCAATGCTCTCGGGACCCTGAGGTCGCCAGACAACATTGTATAACTCGACCATATCCTCGTTATACATGAGATTGCCGCTAACATGCCATAACTTGACGCCGTTGTCAACACGGAGTCGGGGAGAGGTTGTGGCAGTCATGATGTAGCGACTATCGGGACTCCATTCGCAGACGCTGGGATTACCGCTCTCAAAAGTGGTAATCTTGCGGAAATCCTTCTCGAGATCGTAAACATCGATCTGACCAGCAAGGTTGCCGAAACCTGCTACCAAAACAAAGCGACCGTTTGGCGAGAAAGTGATAGTGTTGCGAGGGGCAATCGGGAAGGAATGCGTGGCAACGGCCCGGTGGTTGAAGATGGTGGCCTTGGGAGGCATGGTACCATACACAACACCGAACTCTCTCGAGTTGTGGGACCAAGAAACATCATGAATGGGACCCTCCTTATCCAGGGACACGCGGGCATCAAAAGCACCGGTGGTGCTGAGCAGATACAGCGTGGTCTCGCCATAGTAACTCTTGCCTGAGCGATCAACGTCGGTTTGGGCCAGCACCAGAAGGCTGGAGCCAAGCTTGTTCCACTTCAGCTGGACCTTGTCTCCCTTGAAGAAGGTCTTTTGTGAGATTGGATTGGTGAAAAGAGGGACGTTGAAGACCTTGACGGCAGCGGGTTGGCCCTGGAAGTTGTCAGTATACACTTCTTGAAAATTGCTTTGGTTATTTGCTGACCTTACGCTCGGGAACAAAGACGGCAACGGCGTGGTTTTGGCTGCCAGGAGCAAGAGCAAAGTTGGTGACACCCTCGACTCGGAGCTTGTTCCAGACCTTGACGAGATCGTGACTCTCGTAAAACTGGACTTCGTTTGTAACGAGACGAGCACAGTACTTCTCATCAGCTGTGTACTGAAGGTTCCAGCCTTGCTGCTGTTTCTGAACAAAGCGGCCGAGGGGCTGCTTGTCCTGACCAGAGACATCCTCCTCCACAACGCGCCAGACCTTGAGGTTCTTGGTGGCATCCCCGTTCTCATCCTTGGCAGGGCGTTCCCAGGTGATGACGAAAGTACCTCGAGGAGAGAAACCGAGCTCGTAGACGTTGGAGATGGGGAGGGACAGGACCTGCTGGGAAGTTGAGGGATCAATGATAGTGACAGCCTCGGGAGAGGCCCAAGCGAAGTAGCGACCACATGGCGAGTAGGTACAGCACCGGAGGTTACCTTCAGGCTTCTTGAACCCAGCGAGAGGTTGATAGACGGGCGCGGCGTCGGTGATGCCGATGTCCCTCTGGGTTCGGTAGGCAAACTGCAGCGGAGACGCCATGGCTAGTGAAAGTCACAGTGTCTCGTGTCTTGCGTAAGTCTTTTTTTGGGGCCGGTTGTCAAAAAGTTCTGTTGTATCGTGTGCGTGCACTTATCGACGGTCGATGTAGATCGCGATCGTGGGGCAGAAAGCTTAGGCTCAGATTCGGATTGGGCGAATAAGCGGGAGAGCAAAATGCCAAAGGAAGCGTTGTACTTTTTCTTTGACTGCGCAACGAAGAGCAGTACAAATAGTCGCTTGAGAGGGGATCAAGAGCGCTGGATCCGACTCGCAAAAGGTTTGGATCGAGAGTTGTTGTTTGAAGTCGTCGCGGAGCAACAAACAAAAAGTGGCGGGGGAATATCGATCGATTGCGATTGAGCGAAGCCGACAAAGCGAAGTAATAAGACAAGAACTGACTGATTCGATGACCGGAAGGAAGATAAAAAGAAGACGGCAAGTCACCCAGAGGGAGGGAGAAGGAGGAGGAATTGGCGCGGCAGTGCCGTGATGTTTTTGGTTGAAGGGAAACGAAACAAGAGGGAAGAGAAAGAAGTTGACGGCTTTGGCCACCAAGTATAGGTAAATATGGATTTTTTTTTCGTTAGGCCGGACCAGGTTCCCATTCTTTTTTTCCGTACCTACGTAAGGTAGCCCGGGTGGTAGGTGGTAGGCAGCCCAGTGCCCAGGCCCAGTGGAGGCTCCCGCTGAGGTGGCCTCCCTTTTTGTTTCTTGCTGGGTACAACCTAGCCACACACCGCATAATCACCGCCAACCGTTCGCCCTTGGCTCAGCCTTCACACTGTCTCACTTGAGTTCAGAAACCTACCTTACTTACCTGACCTATTTTCACAGTGCATGCGGCTCCAGATTTCTCTTTGATCAGAAACCACAGCCAACTGTGCTAAGATCGTCGAGTGCTCCGCGAACCTTTCCTTATCTGTTAGACTCTTTCAACGGGAGCACCGAATGCATTAGATCCTTTATTCTATTCCAAGTGCTAATAAGCCATTACCTTCGAGCCACAAGAGCCCCTTGTACTTTCAATATAGAGAGTTGTTTTGAGCGTGTTTATTCCATTCATCAGCTTGAACTCCATAGAACATGTTAACATTAGCTATAGTCACGCCATCAACCATATAGTCCCCCCTTTTAGTTGTAGTATGTAGGGTTTGTCTGTAGTGCCTCTGTTAATCTTTTAGACAAGGTATTGCGTCAACCTTCACCCTACGCCTGGTTAAGCTTTGATAGTCAGGTAGTGGAAGATAAGTGAATTACCACCCAAAACAAAACCAATGGACTCTGTTATTCCTCAAAGAATGCATGGTCCGATGTCTATCACACCAAGCACCTGCTACATCTTTCATTATCATGGCTACGTGGCACCAATTGGCATTGACGAGCCGAGTTTATAGCACCGATGCTGTCAATAAACTGGATCGATGAGTCTGCACGTGCCGAGCTTTTCCAACATCAGACAAGGTGCTGTTCCTCTATTAAATACAGGTTGTATTTTGCTGTCTCATTATCGTGAATAGGTCATGAACCCAAATTTTTATAGAACGGAAATGGCACGATCACCTGCCCTTGAATTCCTCCTTCCAGCCACCCTTCTCAAACAGCCATAACGCCTCAGTAGCGTAGACTCGGCTTCCTCTGTGACCGCCTTCGTTCATGGCAGCCTCAGTCAAGCTATCGAGGACCCTTCCCTTCTTAACAGCTGCCCAGATTCCCATAGCAATAGGGTCATCCTCACTCTTGCCCCACTCACCGAGTCCGAGACGATAGAGAATTCTCCCCAATGTCTGGAAAGCCATACATCTTTGCGCAGGAACAGCACTTCTGGCAAGATGAGCTAGCTCCGCAACTGTGTATCCTGCAGCCTCGGGGGCATCGCCGTGGTGGTGTAAACCCTTCGAAGAAGGGATGGATCGGCTGACTCTTGGTGATAAGAATCGGCCCTGAAAGTCGAAGCGCAGAGCGTTGACAGCAATCTCGGGATGCGGATAGTATGAGGAGTCTTTGTCAGCCGGACTGTCCTCGGTAGGAATGGGTGCCATCCATGCGAGCTTGCTAGGGTCGGCGGGTAGATTGGGAAAATATTTCTTGTGCAGCGATTCTAAGAAATTCGGGTCGGAAGGGTCGAGATCGGCCAAAGCTGGTGGTACAGGAAAATGAACCGACTTGGGTTGGTCGGTAATAGGAAACAGATCGGGTGGTATTTGCGTCGGAGCTTTGTCTTCATCGTAGTGATCCGACACCTTTTTCAATGAAGGTTCTTGGGAAACTGAATGGGAACTTTGCGATGCCGATTCTATTGAGGCCTTGCGAGCGTGGGGTGTAGTCGCTGAGGTGCTCTCCGGTGCTTCGTTCGTGGCAGCGTCTTCGACTTTAATCGTAGGTGGAGGGTCTTGTGCTTCTTGTTGTTTCTCTCGTTTTGGTGCATCAAAAGGCGAGGGACCAGTAGGCTCTTCGATGTTGGCCCGCGATAGCAACCTTTGAATGAGAGCCGGGTTCAAACCGTTCATGATATCTTCTTGGGCTTGAGCGATCTCGGCGGGTGTCATATTTGCAATCTTCTGCTGGTTCTCCTGGTCTATGCGTTGTCTCTCAATATCCTTAAAATCTACATCTGAAGACGAAGCTTGAGATGGCTTTCCGGCTTTAGGTTGTTCGGCAGGCGTTGTTGCTCCGGCTGCTCCGGCGCGCTTCTGCTTGAAAGCGGAGGTCTTCCATCTTCTTTTATGTTGAGGGAAGCCGGTAGAGGATATAGGCAGGTCGTTAAACTCAGCAGGCTTCCTCGTGGAAGTATCGTGCTCAACGATGTCGTTGATCAAAAGTGTCGGATCCATTCTGGTGATGTATATGCAGTCAGCATGGACAAGATCTCTCTCAAGCTTTGGATCTGACGTCTTTTTTTTATTTTATCTTTAGTCAGTGGAGAGAACCACGGAGAAATGCTTGTGGGTCAGGGGCCTTGTGTGACCCCACATCCAGTAGCGCGTTTGTTTGAATGTGCCACGTGCAAGGATTTGAATAACCTGGACTAATGGAGATTTATGGAAATACCAATACTAAGCTTCCAAGAATAGACAAGACAAAATACAAAATAATCAATGTTATGCCAGTCTATCCAGACAAGGAGAAAGTATCCCGAGTTGTTATTTGTGGATGTATTTTATCAGGCGAAAACACGTTATGACTCGTAAAAGGTACTGAGGATTGGAAATTCGAGTTTCAGTCCCCGGTTTTCCTCTCTTGATCGTTCTGTGCCCAAATAAGAAGAAGACCCTGCCAATATTAAAAAAGAAAAAAACCCCTTGACACTTTTCCGAAATCCCTGATACCCTCAAAAGAATTTGCTATAACATCATATGTGCATTTATTACTGGAACAGGGCTTTTGAGTTTCGTTTCCTGAGACAGACGATTTTAATTGTGAGGGTATGTCGCACCGCCACAGATTAGACCGGGATAGTGGTGCATTAGCGCCGATCGATTCTCGTTCCTCTTGAGTTCCAGAACCCTTGTGCCACAGAACCATGCTCAGACTGTCATCTGTGGCTTTCAATCGTTAAGCTTTCTGATGTGGTATTCGGTGCAATTTGTTTGTAACTAAGCAAGCCCCAGGAGAGTTCGAGTGTTTATTATGCGCCCCTATTCATGCTGCACTTTTACGTGTTTGTATTTTCGCTAGTCGTCAAGAAATGAATGCCTCTGAAAACCGGGTGGAGTCAAGGTTGACGCGGTCGGATTGAGTGGAATGAATAGAGATTACCAAAGGGAAAAGTCAAAAACGAATCTCTGGGACTTAAGCAATGAGTTCCAAGAGGCAACAGTGGATGGCAGGTACAATATTTATGGCGTACAGTACCGTGTAGGGTTCCAATCCCTGCAACATCATTTGATGGCCGAACGACCGATAGCTTCAACATCAATGGAGAAACCCACAAAAAATCCCTCTGAAGTCCATGACGATACATATTCATATCAGCTTCAAATTGCAAATTGGGAGGCTATTCAGAATATTGGAAAAAGAACAAATTACAAAAAAAGCCCCATTCAAGTAGTACCTTAACCGAAAAAAACAAACTTGTGGCTGATGCAGCCATTACTGCAGCCGCGTTGGATCCCTGTCGACGTGCCGCGCCTAAGCTTGGTTCAACGATTCTGGTTTCGGGATTAGATGATCCACACCATTCAAGAGAGGGGGGGGGGGGCAGTTCATCGCTGCGATGGGCTGGGCTGGGCTGGACTGGGATGTTTGTCACTGGGCAAGAAGGTGATTAGTCAAGTTGGTTGTTGCTGACTCTGAACGAATTGATCAATATCACGAGGCCGTTATTGCTTGTGATTTTCATATGACTGTTGCAGCTGAGAGGTGAGCGGATAAATGACGTGTTGCAAGAGATAGCCCTCTGAGGTAGTACAAAAGGATACATGTCACAAGCCGAGAGATATTCCTGGAGTCCACAGTCCACTACAGGCAGGCAGTTTTCCCCACGCTCCCTAACCCAAGGTATGTACTAAGGTACCTAAGAATGGAACCTCAACCCTGCCCTGGGGAGTAAGAAAAGCTTCCGTGGTTGAATTAGGGTGTCAAAAATACTTGGCCAAGTGCCATACCAGACTTCCACTATAAACAGACCCTGTAATATATTCAGAGTCTCGCCTTTTCTTATCCAACCAACTCACCTGCGAAAGCTGACCCGACCCCCCTGGTCATGTTCTACGGATGTTACACATGGAATCTGAGTCGGTCGGTACCTTTACCTTTACCTTTACTCTAAAGAAAATATGTATCCGTGCGTCAACGGCCATGGAAGTCTGTTTTCTCTATCACTTCCGCCTATGCATGTCTTTTTGAGTCTACCATTAACTTACATCTTACTCATTCTCCCCCCCCCGCTAAGCTCGGGTCTGCTGGCTCTTTTCACTTGCTCCCTCTGATGGATTTGACTCTGTACTGCACTGTCCTGTCCCATCCGTCCCCAGCATCCAATGCCATGGCATGACCTAATTACTTGGTAGACCCCCTATCACCATGGACTTAGCTGGTTCCCTGGTGTTGTCGATGCCTATTTTGAGTCCCATCTCATTAGGTTGGTTGTTCTAGAGTTAGTTAGCCACGCCCCTCGGCGGTTTTTAATACAATTTCCCTTTTGTCCTTTCCCTTCCCTTTCTTCTGGTGATGCTTGTCATGGTCCGCGCCCCTCCCCCCTCGCTCGTTTCTTCTCGTACCGTACCTCGTGCCTTGTCTGTCTCGTCTCGTCTCGTCGTTCTTGTTGTTTCCGAGTCGTAGCATTCTTATTTAGCTGCTGGCAACAAGAGAAGCTGTTGGCATGCCCCGTTTTTCTCCTTCCTGGCCTGGAAAATAAGAAATATTGTCGTCGCCCCGAAAAAAAACGTAGCCATCCCCATCTCATTTCTCCTCCCTTTTCTTCCCTTCTTTTCCTCCTCTCCCTCACTCAAACATCCACCTCCCACATATTTTTCCCAACAACGACCAGTGGTTTTTATTGTCGAATTCGTCGGATTTCATCAATTTGACACTATTCGCACGTCTCAATCATCTCCAAATTGTCGTTATTCTCTGCGCCTGGTGTGGCAGTACCTCTTGACGTCCTCCAAGCGACGTGTACCCTGCAGTCGGCTCACTTTTTCCTTCTGGAAGGCTGCATTCACTGCCAAAGTCGTTTCCCAACTCGAGATCTTGAGGCTATTCAGAGATTCGACCTACTCCACCGCCCGCACCTGCACTCCACATTCTGGCCACTCACAGCTCGTTTCACCTCATCACTCTCCGACTGGACGCTTTCCCGTTTGCAACCATTCCGTTTCTGACGAGGCCCGCACGCTATAGATCCAGGCATTTCTATTCGCTGTACCTGGTACTCACTTTGACGCTGCATTTCGGTGCCATTTAGCGTGTACCACTCACTACCACCCGTCGACCGCTATTCGTTGCCTTATCGACATTCGATGGTTTGAATCACAGCCTTGCCCTACGCGACGCTTTATCTGATCCTTGGGTTTTGATGCTGCAAATGCGAGGTTCCTTTGCCCGCTTCTAGCATTAATATCCCCTGTTTCCAATTTTGGCAATCAATTTGTCAGATGCAATAACCGCCTGTATTGGTGTTTCTATTCACATTCTTGTAATACGCGCTGCACAAGGCTATTCGTTGCCTCTCTACACCTCGGCATGGCTGCGACAGGCGCCGACACGTCTATGTCACGATACGACTCATCAGCCGGCGAACTATCATCGCCTCCTTCCGGATCGCTATCAGAACCTGGTTCACCATCACGAAATGGATCCGGTAGCCGAGCACCGCAAGACTATGACGAGATCGTCGTCGTTTCCAGCGATGGCCAATATCAACACATCGGCCACCAGAATCACAGCGAACGCCCTCCACCGCCTATGCCACCCCAATCAGGCACAGGCCCCCCTAGACGATACGCACTTGTCGACAACCAATGGGTCCAATTAACCGCTGCAGGTGTGCCGCGCAAGAAGCCTGGACGCAAACCTGGTACCATTGTGAAACCTCGAAATTCGGACGGTGCCGATGCAGCTAAGGCTTCTCGAAAGCCTAGGAAACCTCGCGATCCTAATGCGCCAGCATTGCCACGCAAGAGAAAGATTGCCCCTGCAGATGGCGAGAGTGAAATCCCGGGAGATTCAAAGTCTCTTGCCGACGCTGCATCATCCGCCGGCCAGGGACGCATGTCGGATGTCTCCCATATATCAGCATTGTCACCTGCTCATCATAACCGTCAAACATCGTCTTCATCACATCAACCTGAACAACGATATTCACCAAAGATGTTGAAGCGTGAACACTTTATGCAGAACATACTAAATTCGGATACGCCTGTGGAACGACCACAGTCTCAACCCCAGACCCAACCTCAATCTCAGCATAATAGCTCTACATCTATACCTGTTCGTACCAGCGGTCAAAGCTACGATCCTATCCGTGGTAACTACGATCCTGTTCGTGAGACAATGGTTTCTCATAGCCCTTACCCGTCTACTTCTGGTTCACCAAGACCTGCTTCTCAAATGCCTAATCGATCGCCAACCATTGCTAGCCTTCTTGGTGGGAATGAATCGCGCAGCTCATATCAGCCACCCTCGAACCAGTCTCGCTTCCAGGCACATGAACCATCTCAACCACCATCACCATCCAAAGACCCTCGCGGCATATTGACACCAAATCCTTCTTCGCGACCACCAGTGCAGGAAGCAAAGAAGGATGCACCACCTCCACCACCACCCGTTCAAAGGCCAGTCATCAAAGAATCTAACTTCACCACCATTTCCAATGGCCCTATCAAGAAGTCATCGCCAAAGCAGAAGCCTCACACTGGAGTTTCCACGCCAAAGACTGACACCCTCGATGATATGGGAGAAAGTGAAGGCCGTTCCATCCTCGACTTTGGTCGAGCTAAGCCAGGGGAAGAAGCCCAGGCCCCAACCATTGTTCTCAGTATACCTATCCAGGCTGGCGAGACAAACAGATATGTCAATTTCATGCGCATGGCTGAGGAACGGTATGGATGGGATGCTCTTCACCCTCGCCTGGCTGCCAACCGAGACCGCAAGGCTCGCATCGCTGCGGCGGCTGCCTCTCTAGAAAAGGCGGAATCGGGCCGCGAATCTGGTGATGAAATGTCCGTCGATCTCTCCGATGCCGAGGCTAGCAACCCCGACAACGGCGCGACCAGCGGCCCTGATGCCCAGGCCAAGCCCAAGAAGAAGCGTAATTTCAAGGAAGATCAGTACGATGTTGATGATGATTTTGTCGACGATTCAGAGCTCCTATGGGAAGCTCAGGCGGCAG